CGAATGATCATTTGTGCCACAACGCTCAACCCCACATAATGTGAGGGTATTTCAGCCAGAGGCTAGGAGCATCTGGCTTTGGATCTTTGGAGAAACCAGAGTGAGAATATTCCAGGTTACCCAAAAACATCCTCCCCATTGAGATCACCCGTTGAGTTACAGCATTGTACTTACATCCATATACAGAGACAATGTCAATCTAGCCTGACCAATCTTGTCCTTCAGACCTTTTTCTGGTCACCTGTGACAGAGAACTGCACAGACACATGTAGTCTTAACAGTTAGAACCATCTACTGGCAATGTAAAATAAATGCCCAGTCCAGGACGCCTTCTTTGTAAGAACCTGAGGAGAATGAATGGATTACAGCTGCAACCAATGATTATTTACATTTGTATCAGTGAATCAGCCTATTATTTTCTCAGTTAATCGATTATTAGTTTGGTATATAAAATGTCAGAATTTTTTTTTCTAAAGCGCAACATAAGTTGTTTGAAACATTTGTTTTGTCTAAAATCCCCAAAATATTCAGTTTACCATCACAATTGATATAGAAATCTAAATGATTAGAAACAAATTCTCACATTTTAGATGTTTGAAATGGGGAATTTGGGGCATTTGTGCTTGAAAAATGACTTAAATGTATGACTTAAATAGATTTTTCTACCAATTGATTGAATAATTGTTTCAGCATTAGAATGAACAGAACTACAGAAGGTTTTTAGTTATCCGATTTCTATAGTGAGTCACATTACCTTAGAAGTCGATCACCTCTCAGGTAATCCAGGCAGATTTGTGAAGGATTTAGAGGCTTTTACTCTAAATCTTCCACTGAGAAAACACTAAAGTTTCCTTGTGAATGTGATTTCCCTGAAGTGGTCACAGATTATTTTCCCACTGAAGTTGTAACCTCATGTTAATGCATAATCTCTACATCCTTGTTTTCATCACCTTGTAGGACACGAAGAAAGCTGTTGAACTATTTTCTGAGAAATTGCCCCTTGTGTGATGTTTCAAGCAGAGTGGCCAAGCAGGGGACACAATGTTAAATATTCATCATCCTGCCGACACGTTCTCTTGTTTACATAAATGGCCAACAAAGAAGGCATCCCTGACAGCAAATGTGTCTGAACTGGGCACAAAGCAGAATTCAAAGATAGACCAAGTACGGCCTGCTGATGCACATTTAAGAGGATCAGCGAGTCCCTGAGCACACACTCTCCCTGTCCAAAGGTCAGGGTTCTTGGAGGAAGAAAAAAGGAGGCTGGCTAACTGACAAGAGCAGAGTTTGGTGATATAGCACTTCCCAAAGCTGCAAAATATATCAGACAAAGGCCCCCTTTTTTCCCTGTGTTAGCGAAGGGATCATCTGGTCCCTTCTGCTGATGGGAGTTACAGCACCAGTCAGTCAGCGAGATGAGCTTTGAGGGCACTGTTATTCTGATATTATACAGCAAAGGGACAACCCGACTTATCAAAGGCTAATCACGTAAACATGATCGTCACTGCACCACATTAGTACCAATGTTGTAAAATGATATTAACACCAAAGTGTATAATTAAATACAAGAAATGGATGTAAGGAGAAAATCTGCAAGCAAACAAGCATGAACAAATACATTTCAAAGGCATAAGATTACAGAGGAAACTGTGCATAATGCAGGTTTGCAGAACTAACAAAGATGGAAGTTGATTCTCTGCTGTGGGGACAGAAACAACTCTCACATGGAATGTTGTGGACAATCAGAAGATACGGAACTGTGAATAGAGCCAAAATAATTGAAATATGCATTTTAAAAACTATTTTCCAATTTCCTACATTTTCACCAGTCTTTATGCTGCATTCATGCAATGTCAGCACAATGGGGAAAACTGGAATACCTGCAGTTATTCCGACTTCCACAGTGTTCACGTGTTAGCCAACGATGCTAGCCCCAATGCTAGCCGTGTAGTTACACTATTTAGATCATAGTTTTGTTGTGTAAAACCAGATGCATACAAGTAGTGTATAGCTACTTACAAATTAAAAGAATCGATTTCAATCAAAATGCGGGGTAAAATTTGAAAAGTTGGTATGGCGAAGGGATGGAATAAAGTAAACTATAAAACCTAGTTCAAATTTATTTGAAATTGATTTTTTGAAAAAGTAACAGCTCTAGTTTGTTGATTCTTCTGTCTTGTTTTTGCTAAGTGGAAGATGTCGGACCTGTCAGAAATTTTAACTTAATATTTCAACAAGGTTTTCCCCACTCTGCTCATAAAAACACTTTGAACGACATCACGTGAATGCAGCATAGTTCAGGTAACCACGATTCACGCTCAGGTTGGGGAGCCAGAAAGGCTAATCAATAAATTGTTTGCATATTAGAGTTGTTACTGCCACCCACTTTCCATTTCTCAGTTTACTTATTCATGGATAAACTTTCAACAGAGGATATAAAGTCAAACACCAGTGAGAAAAAAATAAAGTTATGAGCTTGTGATATGAAAAGAAAACATCTGATAACCAAAGCTACACATTCACATCCACTAAAAACTAAGTATGAACTTGAACCATTTTAATAGTTAGTGCACGAGATAAAGATCCTAAAATGTTCTCCCTCCATTGTTTGTGAACTGTCCCTTTCTGTGTGTCCAGCATGTAGCGGCAATTGGAATATATACATTTATATATTGTTCGTACTTTGTATGTTTCTTTCATTAAAACCTGAGATCAAGGCCGAAAACAGGGTTGAGGTAGGTAACCATAATGCATCAGAGCAAGTCCTGTACAGTCTGTGACAACATAGAGCAGAGAGCCGGAGAGAGAGGCCCTGTGATAGTAGAGCCACCCAACGACGTCTATCTCCATCAGCCAGCTCTCTGTCTGTGGTCGTCAACATCCAGCGACATTATAAACATGGTGGTCCTGAAGCACTTTAACTAGTCAGTGTTGACAGGAGGGAGAAGGCTGAGCAGCAGTTGTGGTTTTGGGAAGAGACTAACAATAGTCAAGCATGATCAGCCACTGTAATGTCTCCTTGGCACCGTAAGACTGAAAGGCTACTACTTTGTTTTAAAAAAAGAGGCAGATAATGTGACGTGAAATCAAAATCACTAAGAGCACTGTAGCAAAAAAATATCCAGACTGAGGTTAGAAATACACTGCAGCCAATTTAAATCAAAGGAATAGTTGAACATTTTGAGAAACACACTGTCTTGCTTTTTGAGAACATCAACACTACTGTTCCCAGTTTGTATGCTAAACTAGGCTAACTGCTGACTGTGGCATTTAAAAGCGTGGAGAAACAGCAGGCCAAAGTTCACAATACTAGCACCTCTATAGCTCACTAATTATGTATGTAACATGTCATTTGTTTAATTTGTGCTCAAACAGTAATGTGAAATCGAACAATTTGTGATGAACATGCTAAGCTAGGCTTACTGCCTACCAGCTATAATGCAGTTTTATAGATAACACATAGACACAAGGTTGGTATCATCTGTCAGCTAAATAGTCAAAAAGCGTACGTCCCAAAATTTCAACCTATTCCTTTAAGTCATTACTCTTCAGATAAGATCTTATCTTTGATAAGAACTGTGCTTAATTTTCTTCAGTTTTTTACAAACATCACATATGTATGAAATCCATTCAATCAATAAAACATGTCTGCACACACAAATATACATAAAATTCAATCATAGCTAATTTTGATTTCCTCTTGTCCAATTGAACATAATGTATCACGTCCCGTTGAGCGATAAATAGTCCTGAAAATGTTAGAATGCAGTGTATCTCTAACGCTCTATTCACTTAACTGAAGGAAAAAATAAGATAATGATCTTTTGTATGTAAAAAAAAATGACTTACAATGGAACAGCATGATTCATCGTCCTAACATACTGTAATTCATGCAACGTGTTATCAGTCTGTCAACTTGCATGAGGTACTGACATTGTATCTACAAACACCATATTCATCAACAGAGGGAAGCCAGGATTTCACATAGGGGGGAAAAGAGGGTTTTTCATTATGCAATAAACAGACAAACAACAACAACAACAACATTGTTATTTTGAGGTAGAACATTAACATCAGCATTTGGAAGTGCTTTATGTTGGATACTCGTTTTTGTTCGTTTTGCTTCGACAAGAAGAAGAAGAAGAAGAAGAGGGACGATTCCTGACATCTGAGGTAGTGCGGCACCTGATCTTGTAATTTTCAAACCAATCAGTTCCTCCGCATGTAAAGTAATTGTGAGCAGAGGGGAAGGTAAAGTCCCTAAAAGCTTCCCGCAAGACATTCATTCCGGCTGAGGTAGGTTTTTGTTGAATCGTAAGGTTCAAACAGCCAAGTCTAGTGCCTGTATGAAGGTTGAGAACTCATAAGAAATGTCGATATCACTGAAACACAGTCCTGAGACAGAACACGTCGAATCCCTGGACGAAGGCTGAGGTCTTCTGTGAGCGAGAAGGTGGAATCATTGGTAGGTGAGAGCAGGCAGCAGGAGTCTTTGACATCCACAGAAAAGTAAGAGATAAGACCAATAACTTATAACCACTTTGACATATAAGTGATAAAGATATATAAGTATATATATAT